AATTACAGATATGCACCTGAAAATTATTAAAACATTAAACATTTCAAAACTCATGTATTTGTTTGCAGGCTAGTGATTATATTCTAAAAAAATATAATTCCAGCAATTGGACCTAAAAAGACTAATGTTCTAATGCGGGATCTGATTTAAAAGGAGTATCGTATCGTCTTCTCATTGGCTCAAAAACTACATCGTCTGTGATACTAGTCGTTCGTTGTACAAATCATTCAATGATATGACACATACCTTCATTCGAAGAGATGCAAACCGTTGTAGGTAGTTAAAGAGTTCATCTTTACTGGCTGGAAGCTTGCTGCTGCGACGTACTTGGGAAAATAAGAATGATTTCATTCGCATTCGAACTCGCTTTCTAAAATCCTCTGATGTTTCACTGTGGATAGGGGAGAGGGAAATAATATAATGACGATGAATAATAACGTAATTTTCATATCATCTGAGGCCCAAAATACTGAATGAAATTAGGAAGTTAATTTAGCGACTTACCCGAACTCATTGGCTGTCCTGACGGCAAAAGCCATAATGTCAGCAGCACCACCGCTACCCTCAAACAACAGCATAATAGTGGAAGTGTCCTTTTTATACTCTAAATCCTCCGAAAGTGTCAATATCGATTCCATATCGCCACCGACTACACACACTACTATAGGTATAGGTTGCTGTCGGGCTATCTTCTCTACCATCGTCATTTCCACATTCGAGATGCTACTATTCTCGCTTTTTTCGAGTTTCATACTGGGCTTACGTCGCAGTGTTTTGTTGGCAATGGCTTCTAGATCATTCATCGCATTTGTTGTTTCTCTAATTTTTGCCAGATTCTTCCCACCCTTTGAAAGAAGTTTTTCAAGCTTCTTTTTTATTGTAATTTCAGAGTTTTCATTTTTCGAGTCCGAAGCAATAATTATAAAATGCGAATGAGTAGCATCAAGTTGATCTCCCTTTGTTACAGTATATGTTACTGGCTGAAATGATTGAAATAATAGAAATCAACTACCTTTGAAAATAAATTAGTGACAAATGGCGGTAGACATTACGTCTGAGTTATATTCATTTCAAATAGTATACAGGAAAAATACAAACCTTTCCATCAATGACGTCGGACACGTCATCATAAAGGAGTGACGTTGATACAATACCAATGGTAACGGGTTTGCTTTCATACTTAATTATGTGTTCCTTCAGTGCCAATGAAACTGCGCTTGGTACACCTATATTTGTAGAGAACAGAAGAAAAAATATCAGTACTCGCAGGTTAGCAATATTGTTTAGATTTAGAGCCGAAAATTGTTGGTTTGTGTTCATTTCAATAATATTTTTTTTGTTGAATGTCCAAGTCAATTCATTTTACGAAGTTTTCAAGCTGAGGAGATATTAGAGCGTTCTTTGTGAGTATATTT